GCCTCGGCGGACAATAGACTGCAGAAACACATAAGTTGAATGAATTCATTTTTAATGAAATTGATGTGGCTTGCAAAATTTCAGATTCGTATTTATCCAGTTCGTAATGAAGAAGATTAGATTTTACAATAATGGCAGTCCCACCATGTGCGGTGCCATCGGGATGGTTAGTGAAGTATGTCTTGTAATTTGGTATATAAAAGTTTGAATACTTGGTGAAGTGTGTTTCACTAATTAAAAAGATGTCGATATTGTTGTGTCTCAAAAATAATTCTACTTCGGCTTTGTGTTGATACAAGCCGTTAGCATTCCATAATCCTAAGTTTAAAATATTAGCCATTATTTAGCTTTATTAATGTTGATTAATGTTGATAACATTTTGACAATCATGGTGTTTTGTTCCATTAACTGGCTAAACATATTTCTAAATTCAGTCAGGAAATCAGACATCGATGGAGAATTACTGTTGTTAATGTGATTTTGATTGTTGTTAAATAGGTTTGATTGCGATTTTATTACCTGAGCATAAGACATATGCTGAGGATTTGCGTACTGAGAAATTCTATTGTTGTGAAGGTTGGATTTGTACCGGTTTGCATTTGTGTGTAAATAAGTCCCGTTACTTCTGCCTATTGTTGCTTGATCGTTATCTGCACCGACAAGGTGAAGGTAGTAAGAACACCCTTTGTAGTTTGCGGTATGATTATCGCCGCAATGATAACAAAGGGGCGGGGCTTCAGCTGCTTTTGTACACTTTTTAGACTCATGATCAGAGCCGCATTTTACACATATAAATCTGCGGTTGCAATAACGCTGGGTATGGCCGTACATTTGGCACCTTACACACTGCGGAATATTAGATGATCTTATTGGGGGCTCAAAATGAATTATTTGGTTTAACATTTTATTCATTTTAAAAATTGACGAATTGTTTTCTTTGGGTTCTAAGTCTATGTAAAACATGTTCAGCAATTGTTTAGTTTTCGGATGTATGATATTAGTAATATTTCTGACAGGATGACCTTCTTTTTCAATTGCGGCTTTGATATCATTTTTATCTGTGGCGTAGTGCAGATATTTGAGTACAACCCTGTATGAGCGTTCCGCTTTTATCTGGTAGGTATGAAAAACGACGTCTCTTTCACGCAGAAATTTAACAAAATTGCGGTAGTCTTCTATTTCAAAAATGTTGAATTTAATAGTTTTATTGGGTAGGTATTTAGTGATGTATTTGTTTTTATTAATAATTGAATTAATATCCGCTATCATAAGATTGTAATCTCGAACCCCGTAGACAAATAAAGGCGGAGGAGTAGATTTTTTATTATCTGTTGCCTCGTCTGATGGTTTAGAAACTTTGTTTTCTAGAGCGCTGAATTTGTTGGCTAATTTTATGGGAACGCTTTCATTACTTACTGCGTTGTTCGGGCGACGTCTTTTAGCGGAAGTTACCTCTTGCCATGGGTTTTTATTCGTGTAATCAATCACATCGCGTGCAGTGGACTCTGGATCCATTGTTGCTATTGAAGACAAATTACTTGTTGATGGAATGGGAGTTGGATCCGACGATGTTGATCTGTTTACTGCATCATCGTTATTTCTTTTTGTAGTCATCTGGTTCAGAACTAGTTGAGTAGAATTATTTTGGTCTTCGTGAATGATGTTAAATGATTCCACAATTGGTATTGTGGAGTGATAATTTATAGTACTCCCTGACGGGAGCACTATATTTAATTAAAAAGCACTGAATTCACAAGTAAAGTCACTTACTAGATCAAACACTACACTAAACTGTGACTAAATAAATGCTGTTTATTATGCTTGTTGATTGTACTCAGGTATTGTATAATCGATGTGTTCGCTTCGAGCGCTGAATGAAGAATCGATATATTGGAAATGAGAAAAAAAACATACGAAGTACAAAATATATTTTCAAATATATCGCAAACATTTTTACATAACAATTAAAATTTTCATAAATGTAATAATCAATATATACATAATAATAAGTATTATAATTTTACAATTAAATTATAATTACAATTAATGTGCCGACATCAAAGACCTTATACAAGGCATGGACTGCTAGTCCCCATACATTTCTCAGGTACAAAAGTGTCAAAAGATGTTCTATGGTATGAGGGCATATGAGGGTAATTGAGCGGCCGAGTTAAAAACTCGATCGCTTAAACGTCAAATGAAAGTCCGTGTGTTCGAAATTGTTGGGCAAATATTATATAATATACAATTTATGTTGAACTAATGAATGCAATGAACTATTTATTTATTTATTTATTTTAGTTATACAAAGTGTTTAAGGGGCTAGAGGTACTTGGAATTTTTGAAAAATCGATTTTTATTTTTTTGCATTTTCATTAAGTGTAATATCTTGAAAATGTTCTCTGAAAATTTCAAGTTGATCCGATGATTACTTTTTGAGTTATTGGACTCTTACCAGCACGTTGACGCAAGTGGAGAGCTCGATACTTATACTCAAGATTATTCTCCCTCACCTCCTGATGTTTTAAAAGATTTTAATCCGATTTACGATGATATTTTACTTTCAAGATGTGTAGTTCAAGATTGAATCCATAATCAGAAAAAATTGAAAGCTTCAACCAACTAGTGTAAAAAATATGCCTAAAAACCGTTATAACTAGTTTTACCATCGTACAAATTGCTAATTGCATATACATAATCATTATTATTCATTTATACCCTAATTGTGGGTATAATTCCCATTGGTATGCTGAAAAATTGGATGCTGCACGTGTGAAAGTGGCAGATCAGCGCGCCAACGAGAACAATCGGGAGGGCGGAATGCTTCGTAGGCAACAGCAAATGTAAATTTCGGAAACTTGCACAATGACTGATGTACAAGTTTCCGAAATTTACATTTGACTCGGTTTAAGTAATTCAATAATTCGAATTTCTGTACGTAATCCAATGTAAAACTTTAAACGCGTTTTTCTCAAACTATGTTTGTTGAACCGGTGACCACTGTAACTCAAAAACCGCTTAGTAAATTTTAATGAAATTTATACAGCTTTTATAATACATAATAAACTCGGGCCTAATCAAAGAATTTTTATTTTCAAAAATTTCAAATTTTTAAGTCCAATTAACTGTTGATTTTTTATCCAAAAATCTAAAAATTTTATTTCTGATGCTACCATTTTGTTATTTTTTTCAAAAAAAAGAAAACTTTCGATCAGGCCCAGGATTATCTATTTTTAAAACTATTTTTTTTTATTTGATTGAATTCAGATGAATCTCTAAGAAGTTATGATGGTCACCGCCAGGACCGTTTTTGAAACAGGGTCAACAAAAACAGCTATAACTTTGGGAATATTAATGTTTTTTTCTGAAATTTTTGTTTCAAGTCAAAACATTGTATAATGATGCCGTATTGATATTAGTAAAAAAACATCGTTTAATAACCAAAAAACAATACTCAAAAATCTCATTTTTTCGTACCTCCAAGTACCCCTAACCCCTTAAAGGAAATTAAAAAAAATTAAATAAATATTTTACACATTATAAAATTCACTGAAAATAAAAACAGTTGGCTAGAGCTATTATGGGTAATTAGAAAGAAATAATGAAATATTTGTTTAAATGTAATATATTTATTATTGGTGTTCAAAAAAGCACGAGGGTAATTTCGCGGCCGAGATATGTCAAACTCGATCGCTTAAACGTCAAATGAAAGTCCGTGTGTTCGAAATTGTTGGCAAAATATTATATAATATACAATTTATGTTGAACTAATGAATGTAATGAACTATTTATTTATTAATTTATTTATTTTAGTTATACAAAGTGTTTAAGGGAAATTAGAAAAAAAAATTAAAACAATATTTTACATATTATAAAATTCACTGAAAATAAGGACAGTTGGATAGAGCTATTATGGGAAATTAGAAAGCAATAATGAAATATTTGTTTAAATGTAATATATTTATTATTGGTGTTTAAAAAGCACAATTTTCGTATGAAAGCGGAGTACATATTTATCAACTTTGCTTTTTTATGTTCTTCATGGTGCATTCTAATTGTTAAGTACATTTTTGCGACAAAGTTGATAAGGCCATGATAATGCTGGACAAATTGCTGGAAATGGCTTGATCTAAAAAGATGTGCAAGTCCCAAGTCATTCAACTTTCGGAGAATCATGCTTTTATGTGAACTTTTGTACATTAAATTTAAAGAATTTCGAATTAGGCTTTCTATATATAAACATAAATTAAACATTTCATCGGAAGGATATGAAAGATATCCTCGATTTTTATATCGATCAATGTCGAATTTCCCGGTTCTCCTACAATACTTGCGAAGCATTCAGAACAGGTTTTACTCCAGCAACATTATTTAAATTTTCGGACAATAAAACCCGAAATGTACTTCACGGCTTCTTCGACGAACTGCGACGATATTTCAAAATTAAAATCAAAAAGTTCATATTCTTGAAATTCTTCATCTTCATAATTATCGTCCGACTTCAGATTTTCCGAATTATTTGCACTTGCAACCGTCAAAATCGGAATTTTATCCGGAGAACAATTTCCTTTATCGGAAACGATTATTTCTTGATGGCAAGTCAAACGACGCAAGTTAGCAAGTTAGATTATTAGTGAATCCACCTCGCATTCGAATTGTCGAGAAGAAAGATTCCAGCATATCCTGAAGCAGTTTGTAAGTCAGGAGATATGTATATTGGTATATAGATTGGAGGTCTTCAAAAAGAGAAAAAATATTCCGCAGGCTGATGATAAAACCAACAAATCCACATTTTCTTTGTCCCGATATTACAAGCTGCTCTCTCCATGTTTCAATCCTAATATATAATTTTCAATTTCTTTTGCACGTTTTTTCAATTTTTGCTTGTTCTCTTCGCATAACGGAATTCTTAAGTGCTGTCTATATATATTATTATTTATGCTTCTACAATTCAAAATATCAAAAGCGTCATTAAAGATTTTGCAGAATTCAGCTGTCCCTTAAATGTTGCAACCAGAAATAATATTTTGTTTTTCTAAAGCCATCAACGCTTTACTCACAGAGTTGCTCAGAACCTGGGCTGCCAATCTAACATTCATCTTATTTTCAGAAGTATGAAAGTGTCGTGCTGTCAATTTGTTTGCATAGTGAAGACCTTGGTCTTCCTGTATTTTGCATAGACCTAAAATGTGTGCCCAGTCAACGGTTTGGTTCGTGCTGGCAGTAAACATTTTCATTTCCACAAGTGCATTGCGAGCATTTTTCAACATGTGGCAGGAATCTGGAAATAACCACACACTGTGACCAGTTGCTGGGTGAGGAATGAAAAGTTTTGCACCGGAATATTCAATTTTCGTACGTGCTCCCAGTGAATGCACCATGGATTCATTCACTCGATCACCGTCATAGGTTATGGAATGAACCTTGACGTACTCATACAAGACCGTACTCATACAAGAGATTCAGCATTATACGTACAAGGTTAGCGTGTTCAACTCCATTCAATTTGGTAATAAGGAAATAAGCTGGGGTGGCCTCGAATTGCCCTTTCAAATCCACCATCATAAAGAACAATGCGTGGTTTGCTAAATCAGGAGACTCCCAGCAGAGAGGTTTCTTGGTGAATGGATCAACTCCAATATCTATATAGCCAAAACGCACTTCCATGTTTTGTTACAGTATGCGCCTTGAGTGAAATTTCGTCAATTATGAAATAGCAAACAAGTGGAACACCTGTAGTTTCAGAATAAATTTTAAGTCTTTCCAGAATACATGAAATTGAATCCCGGAGTCGAGTCCAACACGTACAGCCACTGTCGAATTGTCGATGGCGCAGGCAATAAATTTCCGAATTTTTGGCGAACGAAATCGTAGGCCCTACTCGAGTAAAACTGTAGGGTCTTCGCAAATTTTCGAATTTCAGGCTCATACTTCGTTCGTTTTGCTTCGGAGGTTCTGCTATTCAAATTACCGAGTACATCAGGCATGTTGTCCTTAAAAAGAAAAGGTGTAATTTAAATGAGTGTACCAAAAAATTTTATTTATTTACTTAATTTCACACATACATTCTTCGTTTAACGTTATTTATGTCATTCGGTGCTTCGGATGTGTTTCAACATGTCTGTTTTGGGTATTATATTGCCTAGGGTTTTGGATATTAATTCTATTTTGTTTAAGTTCAGTGCTTTAATGGACGATCAATGAACTTAATTGGCGATATTATTATTTACAGACTTATGGTTAGTATTTTAATGAGTTAATCATTAACCTTATTAGATTAATTTGTGAATAAAGCTAAGAATTTTGACAGCATTTTATTCTGCATTTGCTTGTGAAATTCTATTTAAAATCATATAAGGTTGTTAGGAAAGTAGTTTCGTTGTTTTACTACAGAAGATTTAATTGTATTTATTTTGAAAATAACATCACACTTTAGCCCTATAATTATTATATGATTTGAAACTTATTAAGGTTGTATTAAACTATGTAAAAAATGCTGATCTGTAAAAAACATTACAATCAGCCAGGATGAAATTGACTGATATGTATAGAAAGATGTTTCCTGTACAACAGTGCCAAGACTGATTTGTTAAATTTCGATCAGGAATATTTGATGTTGAAGGTGCATCACGTTCATAAAGAACTGTTGATGTTGATAAAGATGTGTGAAAGGCATTTATTGATGGAGACCAGCAAATAGCAAAATTTATCAAATTCAATTGTTCAATTTCATTCAATGACCACTCGAAAGGTAAAGGTATTTTCTTAAAACTCAATGTATGAGTTTCCCATAGAGAGAAACCTGTGTTGCTTCATTGAAGTCTGCGAATCACTTATGTGAAAATGATTGGTTTTTGAAGAAAATTACAACTAGAAATGAAAATTGAGTTGAATACAATGTATCTCATGCAATTGCTCATGAAACAAAAAAGAAGAACTTTCTCAAACCAGTTGCAAGCCAATATTCACCAGAAACAGGTGATGCTGTGTGTTTGGTGAGATTTTAAAAGACATATCTGTTTTCAGTTATTTCAATAACAACCAAAAAATTTATGATCCTGGAATTACACTACTCCCAGAAATTTGAATGAAGATGTCTGAGTTAAACAGCCAATATATAATCTAATAAAATATTTATTACATAAAAATTATTCATCAAAAAATCTATTAAAAGCGAAATTACTTTTCAAACACCTGATTATTTTTATTTCTTTATATAAAATATTATAATCATTTTTATTTTTAGGTGTCGGTGAAGAAATACTATTCAACATGATGAATGTCTTACATAACGAAATTATCCTCTATTTAGGAGCTATTTGAGGTAACTGAAGTAAGCGATCGTATTAAGTAAGTTCTTGCATGTTTTTTATAACAGAGTTAATTTGATCGCAAAAATTAAATATGTTGTAATTTATGAAACATTTTTGGACACATTTTATCAGTAGTTGGCAAAAAATATTGATTTCCTTTCTCCAATATTAATTAAAAGGATAAACCTTGTTGATCTGATATCATTTTATTATTTATATATTTTCCATCTTGGGCTCGCCCGTAGGTAAGCGGTTAAGAGCAACGGGACTTGTTTCAGAGGTCCCGGGTTCGATTCCCACTTCGAGCAGCCTGTTGTCAGGCAACATTGACAAAGATTTTTACTTGGAAATATAGATAGCAATATGTTTCCAAGTGAAAATAGCCCTCACCGGCATTGTTTACACCTATACTTGCCCTATTACAGAGATTGTAATAAAAATTTATCACACAGAGATGTGACAACTGTTTGGGTTGCCATCTGTAATAAAACAAACGTAGTTTGTAAAGATCTTACTCACAACAGCTCATAGAACCCATTAGTTCTGATTGCTGTTCAAATAAAATTATAAAAAAAAATATAAAAATATTTTCCATCTTAAATGGTTTTGTTTACTTATGCTGGCTTGTTCAATTTAACACATTGTTGACCAACCATTTTATTGATGATTTCTCATGCCACTGAGCAGGGCCGGTCTTGTCTTGCATGCAAAAAATGCAGGCGCACGCCTTAGGGGGCGCCAAATTGAGTTTCGGAAATTTAATTTATAATATATTATTTACATTTTTATTATTTATATAAAATTTAGAACACTTAATAAATAAATTATAATGCACAATTTAACTTAACTGGGAATACGGAGATATAAAAAGCATATTAATTTTGCAATGAGTTATCAGTAGAAACAATTAACCAATTAATAACTGTGCGAATTAGTAAATAACAGCTTTACTTAATCTACTTATTTAATCTTTTCTTTGTTGTTACCGTGGAATTTAAAAAGAAATTATCTAGTGTTCAATCCCATAAGCGCAAGCCTGGGAAAGCTTAAATTATTCATTGGGCATTATTGACGAAAAATTGCGAGCTGATTTAGTTGAAACAGATTTTGTTAAAAAATAACAAATTATAATCAGGCAAATAAACAACGGGGAGTCAGAGGTTAGAAAATGGCATGTTTATTCTGAGAAATTGAATTGCAGCTTTTGTTCTTGTTGCAAATGTTTTGCATCTGATGAACTTTGAATGTTAAAGACAAGCTTGGTTAAGGTTGTGGAAATGGAACAAATATGGAAAATGAAAGCAAAATTTACTTTGGAACAAAAATCTTAAGTTTCTTTTTATACCTAGTCGTGTCCATGCTCTAAATTTAATAATTATTAACTATGCAGAAATAATACATATCAAACATTATAATTTATCAAACATTGTAATTTCTTTGCATTTTTTACTGATTTTTAGACAATACTTCTAAAATTCAAAAAATTTAACTTTAAAAAGAACAATCTGATTTTCTGAATATAACGGGAATACAAGAATGAATACAGTTCGGCTCTTACTATTTTATCTTCATTACAGTTAATAACATTATCCAGACAAGTGTGATTTGAAGGTGAAACTAAAGAATTTGCTACAAATACATCTTCGGCAAGTTCATTCCTTTCAATAATTTCTAAACAATTAATATTTGTAGAAACCCTGACTACAGTCTCTGAACGAGGCTTTAACTCAACTGAAGGTGAATTATTTGAAGGGATGGGCTTTGAGTCCTTAAAATCTATTGTGTCATTATTAAAATTTACATTGACTATAAGAGTTTTCGAAAAATCTAACCCTATTATGCCATCTACTTTAATTGAAAATCTATTATCTACTACACTAAACTCATGCGAAATAATCTTATTATTAATCTTATTACTCATCTATTATTGTCTAATAGAGTCCTTAACTAAGATGTCCCTAACGTATCTACAGTGGTCCCTGAAACCCCAGTATTCTTAACCCTATTATCTAAACTTGTGTCACACACACTGTCGCTCACCTAAGCCTCGGAACTTGCAAAGTACAGAAGTCGTGGCAGAAATTACCTAACTATACTCATATTTTTGTTCAAATAAAATTATCATTTTTCTTTTTACATGCATGGTGTTGACAAGTTAGTTGTATAAATGTTAGTGCTAATTTCTAGTGTCGTGTACACTCTCTAGATGTAACCTACCAACGTTAATATCCACTGATGATGACATTAAATTGAATGTCGAAACGTTTGGAATTAAAGATTAAGTTATAAATCTTTGCTTTTTATACTTTGATGTATCGCCCCACAAGAACTTACTCATATATCTCAACATCAAAATCAACTACTAAATCATATATATATATATATATATATATTATATATATATATATATATATATATTCAATAGATAAGTCCTGGATTTTTTCAATATATTGATTGTTTCTTTTCCGAACAGTAAATCCAATAATAAAAAACAATTTGTTTTTTGAAGATGTTTAATACGACGTTTCGGAACTAGGTACGTTCCATCATCAGGTTTATTCTGTAATAATTTATATATCCATATCACTAATATTTTTTTGTTAAAAACACTCGATTTTTTTGGAAGATATTTGTAGATGTTACGACTACACAAGACTTAAACACACTGATGTTTTTCAGTGTGTTTAAGTCTTGTGTAGTCGTAACATCTACAAATATCTTCCAAAAAAATCGAGTGTTTTTTTAAAAAAATATTAGTGATATGGATATATAAATTATTACAGAATAAACCTGATGATGGAACGTACCTAGTTCCGAAACGTCGTATTAAACATCTTCAAAAAACAAATTGTTTTTTATTATTGGATTTACTGTTCGGAAAAGAAACAATCAATATATATATATATATATATATATATATATATATATATATATATATACTTCTTACTTCATTGTGTTAGTAAATCTTAAAACTAGTTAACAAGTTATGTACACTCTTAAAACTAAATAGAATAAAATGATAACAGTTACGACTAAAAACTATGTTATATTTGATAAATTCTTAATTG